GGAGAGCATCATGCTAAGCGAAATAAGCCAGGGGGCGAAAGACAAATACCATATGATCTCACCTATATGCGGAAGCTGACCAACAATGCAAAGATGCAAGGAAAATATGACCAGCAACACTGAAAGGAAAAGAAATCAACAGAGACAAGAGGGAAGGAGGGAGGGGGGGCAGGGAAAGGGAAGGGAAGGGGAAAGTCAAGGAACATATAGCAAGGACTCATGGACAAAACCAAAGGGGAAGAGCTGAGGGAGGGAAGGTGGGAGGGGGCAAGGGAAAGAGGTGGGGGGGAGGCAGAGACAAATGTATTTAAAAAGTAAATAAATTAAAAAAAAAAAAAGATTGCACATAAAAAAAAAAAGAAGCTCTCTTCAGAATCTATAAAAGGGCACTAATCCCACTCCTTAGGGCTCCACCCTCATGACCTCGTCACCTTGCAAAGACCATGTCTCTGAATACCATCACACTAGGGGTTAAGGTTTCAACACATACCTATGAGAAAAGACACAAAAGCAAATTGGGATGAAGTATGGAAAGAGGACTTTAGCATAAAATTCAGAGCAAAGAAGGTTACTTGCAGGACTAAGGGATGAAGCTATCGGTCACTCGCTGCTCCTTGAAGGACAGAAAAAAAATTTCTTTAAAGCAAAGTCAATTGGAGAAATTGGGACGATTGAGCTCTTCAGTCATGTTTCACTTGCAGGGTGTGCTGGGGCCTACAGGTGGTGGGCATGCAAACCTAAGGGCTGGAATGGGGACTGGGGACCAGGGGCAGCCAGGACTGGGATCTTCACAAGTTGAAAACAGAGTATGTGAATTGGTTGAATCCTGAATCAGGATTCAGAGAAGGGAGGAGACATTGTAATAAATCAAGGAGATGGCAGGGTGGGAAGGGAAGAACGTGTTTGGGTCAAGACAGCCTGGGCAGCAAAGTTCTGGGGGCTGGGAAGTAAGACTTCGAAGTGATGGGATGACATGGTCCAAAAAAGGCAACGCAACTTCTGTTTTAGGTTCTTCTCTTATTTGCATTCTCCCTTATGATCTCATGGTTTCAACTACCCACTCCATGCCAGTAATCCCCAAAACCCTGTCTCTGGTTCATGGATTGTTTCTTAACCTCAAGTCCACATAGACAAGTCCTTACTGGGTATGTACACTGGGTTGTCCCAGAGACACTTAAATCGCAACATATCTTACTATAAAATAACTTGACCAAGTATGTTCACAGTAGCCAAAAAGGGGATCAACACAAACAATGAACATGACACAGCAATACAAGGAACAAACTCCTGATTCATGCAACAAAAGGGATGAATTTCAACAATGTTACCATGAGCAAAAGAAACCAAATGAAAGACTGCCTCCTCTGATACTTCACTAAAGTTGTGGGGTTTTCACACCATGCAGTCCTCCCATTCTTTGCAGACACCATCCAGGTGTCCTACAGTTGAATTCAGTTACATCACTCACTACCCGGAGTTAGCACAGGCCCCACAGGTTAAGGGCTCAACCCCTCAAGACTGCCCCCATTTGAGACTCCAGTCACAAATAGTGGATCTCCAGGTCACCCATACTCTGTCTGACGTAGCTACAAATCAGGACTTCCCAGGACCCCCTCCTCAGGTTTAGTTTGCTCACAGGACTAAAGGAAGCACTTTCGTTATACTGGTTTATTCTGTGATAAAGGATACAGATGAACAACTATACAGGGCAAGGTCCAGAAGGGTCCCAAGTGCAAATGCTTCTGTTCCCATGGCATTGGGGTGCACCAGCCACCCTGCTTGTGGATGTGTCCACCATCCCAGAAGCTCTGCAAACCACATAGTTTATGGAATTTTATGAGACTTCATCATGTTGGCATGATCAATTATTAATCTCCAGCCCCAGAAGATAGGGGCTGAAAGCTCCAAGTTTCCAGTCATGGTTTGGTCCTCTGGGACCAGCCTCGATCCAGGAGACATTCTGGAGCCCACCAAGAGTCCCTTTTTAGGAAAAAAAAAAAAAAAAGGATGCTGCTATTACCTAGGAAATTCCAAGGGATTTAGGAGCTCCATTCTAGGAACAGAGAACCAAAACCAAACAGTAGAATAAAAGATGTTCCTAGCACTCCTGTCACCGAAGAAATTCCAAGGGTTTCAGGAGCTCTGTGTCAGCAAAACCAGGGACAGAGACCAAATATATACTGCTTATTGTGTCACATTCTGTGACTCCATTTAGGGAAAGTTCATGAACAAACAAAACTGACCTTTGAGGATGCTCAGAACAGAGATTCCCTGTGTGAGAGGAGGGTGGACTGGGAAGGGGCCCGAGGGAGCCTCCTGAGGGTGGTGGAACTGTGCTATATCTTGATTGGGGTTTGGGTTACTGGTGCATATACATTTGTCAACATTCATAGAACAGTACACCTAAGATTTATGCATTTCCCTGAATCCACCTCAACTTTTGAACACTAGTTACAAAAAGAAAACAATGGTGGATGTTTCAGTCAGCATGACAAATGGAACCTCATCATCAGGGAAGACATAAATCTTGCAGTTTTAAGCCACTATATATAGGGAAGGGGGACTTTCAATGACTCAGAAATCAGACTAGTCACTTCTTCTCACCTTGTGGCCCACACTTGCCCCATCTCCACTTTTCATCTCAGTGGAAAGCACCACTACCCTCCCAGATGCTCAAAACAGAGGTAGAGTTGTCCTTCGCTCCCGACCTCACCCAATCCATATCCAGTCTGTCTCCCAAATAAGCCCACTTCATTCCACCCGCACCGCAGACTTTAAGTTCAGGCTACACCATTTCTCACCTTAATGGCTGTGGTCACTTCATAATGGTTTCCAAACTCGTCTTCTCTAAATGGGTCTCTTCGCTAAACCCAGAGTGCTCTCCTCAATGTGATAGGATCACACTACAGCCTTGTGAAAACCTTGTGTGCTCAGAATCAGCCCAGACTTATTGATGGCATTTGCAAGGTCCTTCCAACCTTCTGGCTACATCCTAGGCTATATCTATCTGCCTTGCACTCCGTGCTTGGGCCCGATGGAACAGCATTTTAGTTCTTTGAATGTGTCTTGTTCTTTGGTCTGTAAAAACTGTTCATGCTGCTGACTCCAAATTCTTTTCCTGGGTAACTCCTAAATCCATTTTGAACACAGTACAGGGGACCCAGTTCCTGTTGGAATGCAAATTCTTTGACTAGTATCTGCTTGCCTCCCTGAAGGAACCTCTGAAAGTAGGGCAGTATCTGGCATGTAGCAGGAATTCAATTTATTGAATGAATGAATGAATGAATGAATGAATCTTCTATGATACTGAAAACCTGGAAAGTTTTTGTTGCCCCTTTGTCTTCAAAAATAAAAGTGAACAACACAACAATGATAATACCTACCATTCACTGAGCACGTACTAAGTGACAGGAATGGTGCTGAGAACTTTGTAATACATTATCTCATGTCATTAACTCACTTCCTTGAAAAGGGGACTAAAATTTAGAAAAGTTCATTCACCAAATGCAAGTAAGTGCCTCTCTGTACTGGGCAGCTCTCATGGAGTTTGTCTTCTAGTGTGCAGAGAAAGACTATAAATTAAGAAACAAGTAAATATCTGGTTTGTAAGGCGGTGACAAGAAATGGAGAAAATAAAGTAAATAAGGGGAGGGAGATTGCTGAGAACTGTTTCATACTGGGTGCTTTGTGAAGGGCTTGCGTATAGGTGAGGGAGTTCTCAGGAAAGAGCTCCAGGCACAGAAGACAGCAAAGGTCCTGGGGCATGAGTGTATGTGGTGCTTTCAGAGAACAACAATGAGGCCAGTGTGGTGGCAGCAAGGAGAAAGGGATGAAATCAGAGTGCAGAAGGGCCAGGTTACCTGTGGTCTTTGGCTGTTTCTCTGAGAAAGACAGGAAGGTCGTTGATGTTGGGTGAAGGAGCATTGTAAATTCAGGATAGTAACTCCAGAGTTGGAACTGTAAGCTGAGCTTTTAATGTCACAAGTTTGTTTCTCCTAGAAGCAAATCAATAACAAGGTCCTGGTAGCTACAGGTCTTAGTGGTCATCTCCCATTCTTTCCTCGTTTGGGAGCATTTGCTGCCATCTGAGTCACTGATCTGCTGCTCACATAAGCAGGTCTATCCGCATTGTACTGCGGACACACATGGGCCCATTCATTCATTTACCCATGGAGCCAGAAACTATATCAGTTGTCAGGGAAATTGTGGAGAATGAGACAGAGTCTGTGCCCTCACAGTTTTCAGTGCACTGGGGGAAATAAGTGAACAGACAATTATCATCCAATATAAATGGGAAATGAAATGGATAAAGGGAGCAAATAGGGACAACTAGTCCAGACACCTGGAATCAAGGAGGGCTTCCCTGAGGAAGTGAAACTGGGGGTAACTAAGTTGGTGAAGGAAGGCAAGAGAGTAGCTATCCACATGGCAGCAAGAGCACTTGCAAAGGCCCTGAACTGGGAGGTGAAAGAATGAAGCTGGGATGCAGGGAAGAAGGATCTAAGAAGTGATAAGATTGGAGAACTAGGGAGGGTCCTATCATCCTGTGCCATATTGGCCGGCAAAAGTCCGAAGTCTTTATCCTAAAAATAATAGATCACCACTGAAGCATTTTAAGCAAGTAGTGACTCAGTTGGCTGTGAGGAAGTGGAAGCTCACTCTGGCTGCATGTGAAGCCCAGTGTGGAGGGAACCAAGGTAGATTGTCCAGGTGAGAGGCGATGACAGGTGATGTTGGTGGAGATGGAAAGAAGATGAATTCTAGAGGCAGCTAGGAGGGAAAAGTGACTGTTCCTCGTGAGGACGTGAGGACTACGAGAGAATTGGGTGTGCCAAGGATGGGCTCCAGGTTTAGGCCTTGTAGAGTATGTTGGCCATGCTTTTCACAGGGATACAGGTGGGGCATGTGTGGCAGGAACTACAGCATGCAGTGTCTACATGTGTCTTCCTACAAAAGAATCCTCACACCCTAATGATGTATCTGTGTCCTTTCCCCTCCAGAGAGCCAAGATTGGCCAGGGAACCAAGGCTCCAGAAGAGAAGACGACCAGCACCATAGCCAAATTTGACAACAATGGGAACAGGGACCGGATGAAGCTGAGTGATTTTAACTTCCTGATGGTGCTTGGGAAAGGCAGCTTTGGCAAGGTATAGTGTGGCTGGGTGGCCATACCTGCTCCAGAAGAAATGATTAACAAGGCAACCACATTTGCTGCTCATGTGGGGCTTGCATTCCGGTGAGGTAGAAAGTAAAAAGTAAATAGGCCCACACTACAGTTTGTAGTGGGCACTATGAAGGAAATGAATAGAATGCTGTGCCACAGACAAATCAAGAGGGGATCCACTCTGATTGTCTAAGGAGATGACATACAAACTGAGATGTAAGGATGAGAATGAACCAGCCATGCATTCAAAGAGCTAGGCGAGAACATGTGCAAAGGTCCTGGGGTGGACAGGGCTTGGCACATTCTAGGCACATCAGAAGGTGTGGGGCCAAAATGTCATAAGCAAGGAAGGTAGTAGGATGCAAGATTGCACAGATGGGCCCTGATAATGCACAGCCTATGAGCTGTGATGGAGAGTTTGGATTTTATTCACAGTGCAATGGGGAGCCACTGAAAATTTTTAAGCAGAGAAATGACATGATCCGATTTGCCTTTTGGAAAAGATCATTCTTGCAGCCAAGAATGGAGACAGTTCCTTTCACATAGTAGCACAGTCGAAGGACGGCCGTGGGACTCATAGAGTCGTTCTGGGTGCTTTTATAGATACTGGGAGATGCTGTTTTACTGAAGTTGAGATGGTGTTATAAGTATTCCTGACTTGTTTAGTGTTGTTTTGAGCCTTTTAATCCCTTTGTGTGCCACAAATATGTCTAGTATAAATCTCATACCATGAACTCAGGTGTATAAAAATATAAATTTCTTTCCCATGTCTGTAGCTTAAGTAAAAATCTTGAGAGTTATCCTTGAGTCCTTCTCACCCTGCTCATACCCCATCATGTATAAACAATTGGTGAGTCCTGACACCTGCTTCTCCAAAGCATATCATGAACTAACTGACTTCTCTCTGTCGTCACTAATGAGACCCTAACCTAAACCATATATACCATCTGGATGCTGCAGAAGGTCCTACCTGGTTTCCTTGCTTCCACATTTGTGACCTATAGATAATATCCATTTTAGTTAGCAGCCATAGTAATTTTTAAAAATACTGCATTAGGTCAAGGCACATCTCTGCTTAAAACACTCCAATGATGTCTGTTCACAATTAGAATGACTTCTATACTATGTCCTTGGCTTACATTTTTCTTTATGATGACTCTTGATATAATTCCTGCTTGATGACTTTTTCTTCTCCGATTACCCAGTGTGCTTGGATCACAGTGGAAGTTCTTTGGATTTTGAAATGTACAAAGCTCCGTCCTCCCTTAGAACATTTGTGATGCACGGCTGGCTCCTCCTTGTAATTCCCATCTTAATTTAGATGCCATCTCTTTTGAGAATTCTTCCCAGACCACCTACTTAGAGAGCCACTCACTCATTCTTCATTATATTCAGCTCTTATAACACCCATCACCAGATGATACTTTGTTTGTTTATTGGTTTGTCTTTTTCCCTCCTTCTAAGATCTGACGTCCACAAGAGCAGGGACCTTTTCTGTCACGCTCACCACTGTACTTCCAGTGCCTATGGATTGAGTTCATTCAGAGCCAAGGCTGAATGCACAGATTTGTCCGAGGTCACAGGTCATCTGCTGAGATAGAGTCAGGGATCTGGACCATGGTTGGAAGAGCCTCCCATGGAGTGGGAATTGAGAGCAGGGATGCACAGTAAGGTTGCTGAGCAGCCGCGAGTACCAAATAAGCAGTTGGTAATAGTAATGGTCCACACCTCTTCATGCTTTTTGTTAGCAGCTTTGAGCAGTCTGGTGTGGAATGGAGATGTGGAAGATGGAGCTGAGCTAAGGGCAGGGCTTAGTGAATCAGTGAACCCGGAGATCACAGTAATAAGGGTAATAAGGGAGGTAAGGATTCTGGGATGAGGGATGCCCAGTGCAGATCCAATGGAGCCAAAGTTTTAAAAAATTATACTTTTTTAGTAAGCAATATATTCATGGTTCATAATTAAAATTACATTTAAAGGGTAAATATTGAGAAATCTTGCCCCCACCCAAGATCACATCTTTTTGTGCCCCCTCAGTGCTACTGCCCTCATACGTTAACGCTTTTGTTCATTTAATTTGCATCTTCCCACTGTCTCTACACTAATTTAACAAGTATAAATATACATTTTTATTCTTGGCCTTGTTACCTCAAAAGTTAACAAGGTGGGTTGGAGAGTTTTTGATTCAGGAATGGAAGCTCTGGAGGGCCTCATGGAGAGGGTTGTGCTTGGGGGCAGTGAGTGGAGAGGTGGGAGAGTGGGTCATTGGAGAAGAATGAGAGAATAAGAGAGAACAGATGATATGTTTCCATGAAAACTGTTAATAATAACTGAGAGTTCTGTTTCAGACTGGGGATGTGGCATCAAATAAATCACAGATGACAACGATGTATGTCATGAAAGCAACTAAGATGACAAAAACCTCTGTGATACTTTAAAACACAGTAATCCTTTGCCACTCTAGTTTTGCCAACTGTGGTTTCATGTTAACGTGACTTTATATTTGCATGCTCTTTTTTAACATTTTGCAGTCTTGTTAGGCAGATAGATCAATCCCGTTAAAGGGAAGACCACAGCAGGGTGGTTGCTGTCCCCTCCCAAAGGTGAGGCAGATGACCTGTGGAGCAATCTGTTCACACCTCCTCTCCCCCAGGTCTGCTGTGTCAGATCTGGCCCAGAAAAACATGCTCTGGAGCACCGTGATAATTGGTGAACTGACTGGAGAGTGACATAAGTATTTTGCTAAGACCTGTGGAAATGGAGAAAACAAATGTGAAAGCCATTGAGGGCCAAACAAGAAAGCCCTGTTTCAAAACTTAAAAAAAAAACAAAAACTGTCTTTGGAGAGGTTGCTTTCTTGAGAGGGTTACCCGGAGGGGTCATCTCTTGGCGTGTCTGGCTTACTTAGAGATACATGCCTTCTAGAATTGTTGTTACAGAATCGCCAGGTGTGTTATTCCTTTATTATTTAATATTCAGAAATTGATGGCATTCTTGTACACCAACGATGAAGTACCAGAAAGAGAAACTAAGAAAAAAAACCCATTTGCTCTAACAACAAGAAAAATAAAGTACCCGGGAATAAATTCAATCAAGGATGTAAAAGGCCTGTATTTGGAAAGCTATAGAACATTGAAGAAAAAAATTGTGGACGATATAAATAAATGGAAGCATATACCTTGTTCATGGATTGGGAGAATTAAGATCATTAAAATAGACCCAAAGCAATCTATAGATTCAATGCAATTTCAATTAAAATACCAATGACATATTTCACAAACCTAGAACAAATATTCCAAAAATTTATGTGGAACCAAAAAAAATCTGAATAGCCTCAGTGACCCTGACAAAGAAGAACAAAGTAGGAGGGATCACAATACCTGATATCAAACTATATTACAGGGCCACTATAATCAAGACAGCCTGGTACTGGCATAAGAACAGACACATAGATCAATGGAACACAATAGAGAGCCCAGAAATAAACCTATGTCTCTTTGGTCAATTAATATTTGACAAAGTGGGCAGGAGCATACAATGGAGTAAAAAGAGTCTCTTCAATAAATGGCATTGGGATGATTGGACTGGTACATGCCAAAAAAAGAAAGAAAGAAAGAAACTAGACCAGCAACATACACCAGAATAAATTCAAAATGGATAAATGACTTAAATATCAGCCATGATACCATAAAAGTTCTAGTGGAAAACATAGGCAGTAAAATTTCAGGCTTCCCACATAGCAATATTTTTGCTGATATATCTCCTAGGACAAGGAAAATAAAGGACAAAATAAACAAATGGGGCTACATCAAATTTAAAAATTTCTGCATGGCTAAAAAAAACCATCATCAAAATGAAAAAGGAACCAACTGTATGGGAGAACATATTTGCCAATGATACATTGGACAAGGATTTAATCTCCAAAATATATAAAGAACTCATACAACTCAACACCATGAAGAAAAACAACCCAATTTAAAAATGGGCAAAGGATCTGAATAGACACATCTCCAAAGATGACATAGAGACAGCCCATAGGCATATGAAAAAATGCTCAACATCACTAGCCATCAGAGAGATTCAAATTAAAAGCACAGTGAGCTCTCACCTTACATCTTTCAGAGTGGCTGTCATTAATAAATCAATAAACAAGTGCTGGTGAGGATGTGGAGAAAAGGGAACCCTAGTGCATTGTTGGTGGGAATGCAGAACAGTGCAGCCACTGTAGAAAACAGTATGGAATTTCCTCAAAAATTTAAAAATGGAACTGCTTTATGACCTATCAGTTCCACTGCTGGGAATTTACCCTAAGAATACTGAAACACCAATTCAGAAGAACTTATGTACCCCTATGTTCATAGCATGCTATTTACAAAAATAGCTAAGTGTTGGAAACAGCCCAATTGGCCATCAGTAGATGAGTGGATTAAAAAACTGTGGTACATTTACACAATGGAATGCTACACAGCAGAAAGAAGAAGGAAGTCCTACCTTTTATGACAGCATGGATGGAACTGGAGACTATTATGCTAAGCGAAAGACAAATACTATATGACATCATTTATAACTGGAATCTAATGAACAAACTGAACTGCTGAGAAAAATAGAAACAGAGACATGGAAACATGGAACAGACTGATAGCTGTAGGAAGCATGAAATGGTAGGAAGAAGGGGAAGGGACTAGTCAAAGAACATGTATGAATGACCCATGGACATGGATGACAGAGAGAGGATTGACTGTGGAAGAGGGAGGTGGGCTGGGCAAAGAGGGGCAAAAGGGGAAAAAAGAAATTGAGACAACTGTAATAGAATATACAATAAAAAAATAAAATAGTATTGTCCTTCATTCTCTGTTTTTTATGACTCCTTTGACTCCAGCTTTGCCAACCATGACACTTACCAGGAATTTAACCTCAGTGGTTGTTGAGTGATCCCTGCAGCTCAAATTGTGCTCCAAGTCTATAATTGGGCAGATATGTACT